TAAATTTCATATTTAACTTAGTATACTAAGTATAAGTAGCCTAGACCTAGTATTAGTAGGTTACTAGGTAAGTAGTAATACATTCTTGTACTCAGTAGTAGTAGATCTACTGCTGTATTCTATTCTAGTAAATAACTAAATAAGCTGTAATAATTATATCTATTCTATATATAAATAATATAATATTCTAGATAGAGTCTAGACTTCTTGACACTCTAAACTACTACTTTACTCTAGATGTAAGATCTATCAGTATTACATTGCTATTGTTTGTCTCGTCAGACTATCATAGTGTCACCATCTTTGTTGATTCATTTCCCTTTGCAACTTCTTGTAGGACTTAACAAATTCATAATTTAACAATATATCATGTAATAAACATTACTACCAATGTTTTAAAAAAGTAAAAAATAATTAAATTAAGTAGAGTATTCTTGAGTGGCACTGCAACAAGATTGAACATGAGAATGATCTTTCAGTGATCAAGACCATTACAAAATAGGCATGCTCTATGGACCTCATTCACCAATCATAAACAAACACCATTTAGCCACGTGATTCTCTATCTCTTCTATATAAATTACATAATACACTAAGGCTGTCACATGATAAGTTTTTTTCATTGTTTTATCAATATTATCACGTGGCTAAATGTTGTTTGTTTACGATTGGTGAATGAGGTCCATTGACTTTAATGTCTCCCATTGAGGCAATATACTTGAGCACAAACCTTCTATTTGATAGATATTGTATTTTTTTTCCTCTCATATGCCGTGCTGTATTTAAACTTTAAAAAGCCCTTTAAACTATTTGCGATATTGGGGCCAGATATTATGCTAAATATTTCGTGGGGGCCCCTAAGTAATAGTTTGTGTTGCTTAAAGGTAAATCTGCCCCTGTTCAAAATGAGAAATAGTTCTTTTAGATCCCAGGAGAATGTATTTCAGGGACTATAAATGCAGGAAAACTTTTGGCTTGCAGTGCTCCCATTACTGGGTGGAGCCGTGTATGAAGGTAAAAAGAGGCTGTCTCTGGCAAAAATTAGAGAAACACTTATTAACAAGTTTTTAACAAATTTAATCCTGAAAAGAGCATATTTAATCTAATAATTCTAATTGATTAAACACATTTAATTGAAGAAAGTCCATATATATATATATATGTCTGATATTGGAATGGCAATTGAAAGTTTTATTTATGATAAATAAATTACAAATTCTTAAGAAGAGTTTATCTATAGTAGGTATCTAACCCAGGTCTAATATTTAGATTAATGTAGAATTATAAGGCTTAGGCTAGGTAATAAATTGTAGGCATTTTATAAACCTACATATAATACAGTTGAAACATAGGTCAAACTTTCAGTTAATTTTTTTTTTTTAGGATGTCTGTATTATGACCAGAATGCTGTCTAATCGCAGCTCCTTAAGTCAGCTTAATGATGATTTGGTGATAGCCTCTCGTTATGGGGATGCTCACAAAGTCTCACAGTTGCTGCAGGTAGGAGCCAGAATTGATTACTGGCCCAAAGAAATGAAGGTTGTCGATTTCAATAACACTCCGTTTAGAGATCCAAGTGAAGTGAGCTTGGAGGAACTCTTATTTCACAGAAGCATGGCCATATACACTGCTTGCAATCACGGGCACTTAAAGGTCATCTTGCTGCTGTTTAAGTACCTCAGTCGCAGGGACATGGTGATGGGCTACTGGCTCGTCTTGCTGAAGACTTACAGAAACAAACAGAGTCTGCACAGTGAGCCGAGTGACGTTGCTGTTCTTAACAGCGTGCGTTGCATTCACAACATTTTGTTCACTAGAAGCTCAAACATGGGGATATTGAAAGAACTTATTGACGCTGGGGCAGATCCCAATGCTAAGTGCTTATGTGGAATGACACCTCTGGTAAGTGCGGTATCCTTAGAGCAATGTGATATGGAAGTGGTGCACACATTGCTACAGTCTGGTGCTAGCCCAAACCTTTGTTGCAAAGATAATGTATCACCTCTGTCCATGGCTGCCAAATTTGGAAATCTCAAGGCTATGGAAACTTTATTACAATATGGTAATACATTGATATATTCTCTCTTAACACACTCAATCCCAAAAGAATCATATATTTTTAAACCTCCACAACCCAGCCAGTGGGATGGAATTTTCATTTAAAACCTTAGAATATTCACTTATGCTTCCCCCTGTTTAATCTCATTTTTTTAAAGTTAATATTTCAAATTAAACATTCATTTTAAGGTTCAAAAGAAATATATTTCAAAGACTTCACTTAACTAATTTAAAAAAGAAAAATCCCTTTAAAAGGACTGAAATGAAATACAATTTTAAAATGACAGTGAACTTGATAGAATCAATTTTCAAATTTCAATGTTGACTTGACTTTACAAAATAATAATAAATAAAACTCATGCTAAAAAGGTAAAAGGCTATTCTAACACTTAGTTTTACCGAAATGTAATGTAATTTTAAAATTTGATTTTTCAAAGTAACTAGCGTTTTGTACATTTTCAGGGGCTGATGCAAGTTCACACAATAGAGATTGGCAACATCCTCTGGTCTATTCTGTCATCCGTGGAGATGCTGTCCAAGTCAAATTACTTTTGAATCAGGGTCTACGTCCATTTGTCATGTTACAATTTGTCGTGCATGCACATCACTCGTTAGCCTTCCAAGTGCACGACTTTAAATTTTTTGATAAACACGTTTCTTTGCTTTACATCGCTCTGTACTGTGGCATGGTGGATGTAGCCCAGCTGTTATTGGAGAAAAATTTCGTAACTATTTTCGACCTTCGCTTTCTTCAAAAAGACGTAGTTTTATACAATCATCTTTGTTCTGAACAGAAATACAAAGAAACCTTGGCACTGTATGAAAAGATTCAATCCAAACCTTGGTCCCTTTTTACTTTTTGTTTCTTTGTTATATCTGAACAAGTTGGATTTGGTTCTGAGAGGAGAGAAAGGCTTGGACGTCTAGGGCTGCCCAATTTAATGGTCAGAAAGTTATTATTTTCAGACCAGTAATTCCATGTAAGCCAACATAGATTAGGAAGTTGTGTCTGTTGAATGTTTGGATGAGTGCATTATTTGATGGTTTTGAAAATGTGATGAAACATTACATCTCATTTGTCATGGACATCTTAAACTCAAGATGAATGTATTAACTCAAGATGGATGTGAACTCAAGATAAATATATTGATAAAAGTTAAGTTGTTGATTTTGAATAGAAATGAAGCATTGCATCTCATTTGTCATAGAGATCTTCAACTCAAGATGAATGTATTAACTCAAGATGGATGTGAACCGAAGATAAATATATCAATAAAAGTTAACTCTTTATCTCCATAATTATTTTTAACGTTCTGACAAAGTTGTTCATTTTTTACATTTGTACATTCGAACCTGTTATTATTAAACATCAATAACATTTTGTTTGTAATCAGAAGATATTACTTTTGGTATAGAATTATAGGAGACTGCATGCTCTTTTAAATAACACAAATACAAGTTTATAAAAACAAAAATTAAATTTAATTTAATGGGATCAAATCAATGATGGTATCATCAATTAGGAGAGAAAGAGTTAAGTTGTTGATTTTTTTTAAATGAAATGATGCAATTCATCTCATTAGTCATGGAAATCTTGAACTCAACATAAATGTATGATATCTTAAAGTCTAGATGGATGTGTTATGGTACAAATATCTTAAACTAAACAAAATAAATTGTTAAATTTTTTATGTGTGTTAGACATTAGACCATTTATTATATGTAATAGTATACTATACTAGCAAAATAAAAAAACAAAATAACTAACTATTGCATATATTTTGCAATTGTATACACAAAAGTATATCAGAGACAAAGTGCATAAAAAAAATGTTTTTCTTACTGCCAAAAAAAAAATGTCATCAATGTGATACTCAAGCTTGGCAATACTCCCATGATTTGTACAGAACAGAATCAAAACTTTCTCTCTTCCTGAATCCCATATTTTGATTGTCCTCAGCATATTTTTTCCCCAATAATACTAGACCTAGAGTCTCTTCCCACTCAATAGAACCAACCTAAACCCACCTCAGCAAATAATAAATAATTTTTTAAAATCCATATATATTTGGTCGAAAATTTGTTTAAAATATATAGAGTCTATGTCAAATGAAAAAAAAAAAGAAGCTAATTAATCTTGGATTATAATTGGTACGAATCAGGTAAATAGTACATGAAATCTTTTAAACTGAATTTCATATCCTTTTTAGCAGGTAAGTCAATAATTAGTCATATGTGGCTTAATATTAACTGCCCCTTTGGACCACGAAGTCTGAAAATGAAACTGTACTTTGCAGTAAGAAAAATTACATAACTTTGATAGGATTTCATGAAACAAGCTTTGAGCTAATCTGATAATTAATTATGTGTAGGCTATGATTGTCTTATAATGTTAGTGAAAAGTTTCAGTTTGTTTTCATATTTCATTTTTTTTGTAAGTTATCTTCTTAATATTATTTCATTTCAACATAACAGAATAATGCCAACTAAAATATTTTGTTTTGTAAAAATGTGTTTTAGGGTGCAGAATTCTTTTGTTTTAATTTGAATAGCTTTGCAATATTTCACTATGTAACAAAAGCCTTGATATGGCAAATAGTTGAACTATAATTTTAAACAAATATTGAAAGTCTCAAGGAAATAAAGAAAGAATATGAAAGCAATCAAATTTCATAATGAATTCAAGTCTTGCTAAATAGACATGTATTTGTTTAAGAAAATATGAGACAGCTTTTCAAAGCTTCAAAAAACCCTGTGGATATTTTGTGTGTGTGTGTCCAATCTAATTGCAGCTACATTCCTTTTTTCTCATTTAATATTATTAATAATATTTAATATTAGTTGTACATTTTACCTTATGATTACTCTTGTATTAATTATTTATGAATTTACTGAGTTTTATATATATATATATATATATATATATATATATATATATATATATATATATATATATAGTGTGTGTGTGAACTATATTTCTGTGTATTTCCAATCGAATTTCTAATATGTATACATTTATATATATTAGAAATACACAGAAATATCATACATACATAAATATATCTGTGTGCCTATTTATAAACCTTTAAACTTACTATGTCTGCAAAGTTGATTGTTTTGGATTATGTGAATGCAAATGAATGTACAAAGTATGTACCAATTGGATTCCTCTCTAGTTCTCATTTCACCCTTTTGATCAAGAATCTTAAATTTAGTTAATAATGCCGTTTTTTTGGTTATAAACTACTTGATATGCACATATATTTTTATTGTCAATTTTGATATAAACATCATGAATAATTATTTCTTTAATATTATTATTATTTTAAAATTGATTTTGTATAGCACAACTTGCATGCTAACAGCATACTCAGAGACCTATGATCCAAAATCTTTTGTGAACCAGTGGGCGCTGTACCAGGTAGGAAGTTTCCATGCTGCCTTTAGGCACTCCGCACAATTCAGCTCGTATCAGGAATTGAACTCAAGCCCCCTAGGTAGCCAAATAGTATTTGCCACTGAGCCACACATCCAAAGTTCCAGCACAATGCCCAACAGCCTTTACTTCAACCAACTAAAGTCAGGTACCAATTAGAGTTGGATGGATTCAGGGGCGTCTTAGAAATCTCAAAATAAAAAATCTGTGTCTTCAGAGTCCTAATTCTTGGTTCAAAAGCCAAGTGCTATATCATTCGTGATATGATTTAGCTTAAATACAATACAAATTTCCATTGATTGATGGATGCTTAGATTTTTTGTCACAATTGAAATTACTTAGAAACAAACATACTGGTGCCAAGTAAAACTGGTGTTGCCAACTTTTGTTTCATTTTGCTTGCAATCATCCCATTATATGAACTTAATGTCTATGTTGATTAGAATGGTAAAGATACACAATTGTCTTTCACTTTGATGCTCAAAAGTATCAAATAGAAATTTGATATTCCTTGATTCTGATGTTTACTATAACAATACGCTTTGTAATATGTACATTCACTTTCTGTTTGAGAAGTCATATTATATAGATATACTTTGAATCATTGTAGCAAAAGTTAATTTGCCTTTGGGCCTGTCTTTTATGTATCCAAAGAAAATGTTTTTGATAGAATTTATATTTGGTGCCTTACTATTTATGGTATTAGACACTGAACTTAATAGATATTAACTAATAAAATCCTTATTTACAATTGCACATGATTTGTTGTATGTAGCCATTTTTTAGCAGTTTCAGTGTTTTATGTTGCACTAGGCATTATAGGTTAACAAATACTTTGTATTGCAAAGCTCGTACGCCTTGCCACCTCCTAAAGAATTGTTGCACCTTGGGCACATGGAGAAGGTTGCCTTAATCAAATAGGGACACAAATGACTAAATCTAATAAATCTGAACTCACTGCCCATATAATCATGTTCCACAAAGTCCCTTAAATCAGTGGTACTCAATACCCATATAATCATGTTCCATAAAGGCTCTTACATCATAGGCCTACGTAACGTTATCCAACAAGGCTCCTTCACCAAGTTTACTCACTCCCACACAGTCAATGTGTACAATGTCTTAAGAAAGTGCATGCACAAATGTACTCACCGAATAGCCAATAACTTTTCCTCGTATATATTCACGAATGAGTGGAAGCGGTGTCCAGCGGACCAAGATGGCCGTACTGTTATGAGTCTTCATAGTAATGTTCGTCGCCACGCCAACAGGCACTGAGGAGTGATTGTAAGACAACTTACTAGTACTAATTATTTATTTGCTGTAGGCACATTTTTTTAAATATAAAATTCTTACCTGTAAACACGCTTAGTAGCTCTTTGGGAAGACTGCTACCGATAATAAACCTATTGCTGCCTGGTCGTGTGGTAGGCCTACGCGCTCATGGAAGAGCCTTCGTGGAACATTATTATATGGGCATTGAGTACCACTGATGTAAGAGCCCTTGTGGAACATTATTGTAAGGGCATTGAGTACCACTCATGTAAGAGCCTTCGTGGAACATTATTGTATGGGCATTGAGTACCACTGATGTAAGAGCCTTCGTGGAACATTATTGTATGGGCATTGAGTACCACTGATGTAAGAGCCTTCGTGGAACATTATTGTAAGGGCATTGAGTACCACTCATGTAAGAGCCTTCGTGGAACATTATTGTATGGGCATTGAGTACCACTCATGTAAGAGCCTTCGTGGAACATTATTGTAAGGGCATTGAGTACCACCAGTGCTGGGTAGTAACTAGTTACAGTAACGCTAGTTACTGTAACTTAGCGTTACTGTAACTAGTTACAATTTGAAGTAACTAATGCTGTACTTAGTTACTTTTACTGAACTGTAACTAGTCTAAGTAACTAGTTACTTTTATCAGTAACTAGTAACGCAAATTGCTAGTTACTTTGGTCGTTGTTGTATCATGTGTGCCCATGTGTGTTTATTGGCGCCTGAACGAGCCTATGGCAATCAATAATACTTGTTAAGTATTTTTATGTTTATGGTTATAGGAAGTTCTAGTTGGTTGTGAGCGATAAAAAAGCTAATTTAATTTTTGACAAACTCAATGGCGGACTCAAAGCAAAGTGAAAATTCTTTTGAACGTTCAGTGTTTACCAAATTTTTTACGAAAATTGAAATAGACAACAAAAACGTTCGTGTACGTTGCAAGCTTTTGTCCTCCAGCTACGAAACAGACTTATAGCTGTGCGCTCAATTCTACGGCCAATCTCAAAAAACATCTGCAGGTTAGCAAAGTTATGTTTAGGTGCATCAAGGTTATGCAAGCATTAGCCATGGCTCTGGACACGTTGCAAGCTGAAGTCAACTGTTTCATGGGACTACTCCTACCAACAATTTCTTCCTTGCGTTCACATCTTTCTTCAATGAAGCCCTTATTGAAGTTTGCGGCTCCACTGGCTGATGCATTACTTAGTGGAATCAGTAAAAGATTTGGCCCACTTGAAGGTGAAGATGATTTGAGAATTGCAAGTGCTTCTCATCCACAATTCAAGCTCCGATGGATACAGTCTGACGCTGAAAGAGTTCGAGCTAAATATTTGCTGCTACAAGCAATGCAGGCCATGGCTGATTGTGATGCTGCAGGCAATGCTTCCAATGATGTTACAACTGCAACGACTTCATCATCTCATGTAGGAAGTTTCTTCTGTTTTTATGAGTCTGATACTGGAGGTAATACTGCTCAGTCTGAACTTGAACTTTTCCTAAACGATTCTTCAAAAGACATATCTAGTCTCCAGCACTATCCACTTGTGAAACAAGTATTTGTTCGTAAAAACACAAGTCTTCCGTCAAGTGCTCCAGTGGAAAGGCTATTTAGCATAGGCGGGCAAATACTGACTCCACGAAGAAACAGTCTAACGGATGATCATTTCGAAATGATCTTACTGCTAAGAGCCAATAAAAAACTGATACAGTGATTATTGATTAGTTAGTTATACAACACAACAATTAATAGTTTTTAATGATAGGTTAATTTTACACTTTAAACTGGTTGATGTTGCTTTGACTAATATATTGGTGAATGATTGTTTTTTTTTATAAATACTTATCATACTGTTTTTAATAAAGAATTATGTGACGTATTATAACCGTTGTTGGAGAATCATACAACCCATCGTTGACAATCCCAGTAACTAATAGTAACTATCTAGTTACTTTTTGGAGTAACTAGTAAAGTAACTAGTTACATTTTGAATAGAGTGACTAATAGAGTAACTAGTTATATTTTATCTGTTGTAACTAGTAACTATAACTAGTTACAATTTGACAGCAACTAGCATAGCACTGAGTACCACTCATATAAGAGCCTTCGTGGAACATTATTGTGTGGGCATTGAGTACCACTCATGTAAGAACCTTCGAGGAACATTATTGTATGGGCATTGAGTACCACTGATGTAAGAGCCTTCGTGGAACATTATTGTATGGGCATTGAGTACCACTCATGTAAGAGCCTTCGTGGAACATTATTATATGGGCATTGAGTACCACTGATTTAAGGGACTTTGTGGAATGTCGTCCCGATGCTTCAGGATTTGAACCCCTGTCCGCTGCTATCCCCTATTGTTCTGTGGGAGGTTTGGACTAGGATGTAATAATATTCAAATCTGAAAGAACAATCTTCAAGGATAGTTTTTTTTTATATATATAAATTTATTATAGCGTCATTGGTGGTTAGATTGATAAGAAATCGTATTCCGATTACCCGATACTGATGCAGATTGGTGTTGAGTCAAGCCATCTTAGATTGGTTCTTAACTTTTAATTCCCAAGTTACACACTATACAACTGAGGTGCCCCTGATGACCCCTGACCTTTTCATATGTTTAAGCTACATTTAGTAAATAACGTTGTTCTATTTTTTTTATTTTTTTTAAATATAAATTTGATCGTACTATTCAACCAGATAGAGTTGTGTTTCCCTGTACTTACTGTCAGCCTGGGACATCACAACTTGAACAGACGAGTTAGGTCCCTCTCCGTACTCGTTGAATGCTGCTATCTTCACGTCATACTGCAAGTAATAATTGTCTGCACCTACCACAGCAAAGTACTGGTTCACTCTGCCTGAAACTTCACCCTGGCCAAAACAAGATGACTACGTGACTAAGACTTAAAAAAAAAAAGTAAAGGCCTTGCGGTCTATAGGGCAGAGGATGTAAATATCATCTGTTTCTGTGGCCTACAGTTAACGAGGGTGTCATGTGGCCAACACAACGACCAACTGCCTTTATTTTTGCCCCAACTAGTGTCAGGTACCCATTAAAGCAAGGTGGACTAAGAGGCGCCTAAGGATCCGGAGATTAAAAATCCCAGTCTTCACCAGGATTCGAACCCGGGATCCCCTATTCGGAAGCCAAGAGCTTTACCACTTAACCACCGTGCTTCACTACTACTTGACAACCGGTACTAAAGTGCAACATATGGAGATTACGTTGTAACGGTTAAGGGTGAAAGTGTGTTTGAATGTATAATCAAAATTGGTTGGGATACATGAGAAAATGACCGGAAGTGTATAATTGATTAGAGAGGTTGTTCTTAGACAAATTTTGTAATGGACACAAATTGAATGTGAGCTAACAATATAGATCTTTTCACGTTTTTAAAGTTACAGCAAAACCCAACGAAATTTCACATGTAAATCAAAAACTTTGAACCGCTCATAAGCCTATCTCATAAAGTACGGTGACCAAACTTCCCGGCTTAGGCGTGACAGTCCCGCTTTGAGACGTTATGCTATCATAAAATGTCCGGGTGGGACAGTCAATGTCCCGCTTTGAGACGTTATGCTATCATAAAATGTCCGGGTGGGACAGTCAATGTCCCGCTTTGAGACGTTATGCTTTCATAAAATGTCCGGGTGAGACAGTCAATGTCCCGCTTTGAGACGTTATGCTTTCATAAAATGTCCGGGTGGGACAGTCAATGTCCCGCTTTGAGACGTTATGCTTTCCTAAAATGTCCGGGTGGGACAGTCAATGTCCCGCTTCCATTAAAAAAAAAGGTCGAATATCACACTTTTACTTTTTAATTCTTTCTTAATCATTGGACTAATCACTTAAAAGTACCGTCTTTCGGCATTTTCTTCTTGGTCCTTACTACATGATCGTAATTTTAAAATTGGAAGCTTCTAGAATGCCTAAAGGTACTTCTCCGACATTTACATACGTAGTTGTTCGTAGCCGTTAAATGTACTTTCGCGTATTTAAGTTTTCCATAAGAACAGTTTTCAATCAATGGACTGTACTTTTAAATGAACGACCCAAAATACAAGTGTGCAAGAATCAAAAGGGAAGCAATCGTTACTAAAGGTTTGGCCCCTATGCTGTAACGTAGCAGGGTACCAGTGGGCCCGGGTTCAAATGTATCTTGGTGGGAGCCTCTCCCAATCAGATGAATTGCAATAGTACAAGCATTTCCAACTGTTTTTGTTTTTTTTAATTTATATGTCCCACACTCTGATCTTACTTTTGCTTGCTTAATTTTAAATGTTATTTTTGTATTTTATTTGTTTAGATTTCATCTCCTTCTTTTATTCTGTTCTAATGTTTCCATAATTTTTTTTTTACACAATACAAAAACAATGTGATGAAGACTTTCTGATTGAGTATTTCACAATATCATCATCATCATAGAATTAAAAAGTTTATGAATCACAACTGATGAGACAGTAGATCTATTACTAAAGACATAAGAAATCT